GGTTACTACTATATATATATATATATATATATATAGTTGGGGGGGGGTGAAGTGAGGTATGTATTCAAACATATATAAATGTATATAACACACACCCACACACACCCACCCACCCACACATATATATATGTATATACACAAAACATACATATATACATACATTGTAGATATCGGGAGCGCGGGCGCGAGCAAAACATACAGACCCTGCATGCATATGGTACCTCGTAGCACCAACACATGTACGTGACGGATATTTGTATGTCAGAATTAGTATAGAATCTATCGCAGCCCTCAATACCCATTGAGCAGATACCCAAAAGATACCTCGATAATTGTCCATACTGAGATAGGCACACCACAGGGTTATGACACACGGTTGTACCTTAGCCTCGTGGATGAGTTCGTCTCCCTCTTTGTCCTCATTTTCGCCCCTAACCGCGTCCTTGTCTGTCCCGTTTTGGGTGTTGTTGGGGTCATCGTCCTCGATTTTTTTGACATTGGGCCGCACATGCTGCTTGTTGGCCATCTCCTCTTTGGAGGGTACATTGAGCGTGACCTCATTCTCTGTCTGTGGATTGGTAACGCATGAAAGAGTTAATGAAATGCATGAGGAGGGCTAGATATTGTCTTTAGATGTCCTACGTATATATAGTCCATTTAACCGTCTATACCTCTGTAAGCTCATGGCTGAGAGCAGTATGCGTTGCCAAAAACGGTTGTGTGCGCCTTAAAGTTACCCGAACAGAGGTGCGTATCGGCACACACCAATAGAATTGTGTATGTATTCAAGCACACACACGAACACACACACGCACACACAAACGCTCGCACACACATATACATACATATACCATATGTAGACAGTTATTGTTTACATAAAAGTGTTGTATGCATATACACACACACTCCCCCTTTCTCTCTCCCTCTCTCTCATACACACATATATATACATACATACATAGGCACACACATACATACATTCATATACGAATATACACCAGTACATATATACCTAAACATATGTACAAATATATAGACACACACACATATATACTCGCACTCACACTTGCATACACACACACACACACACACACACACACCACCCA